AAATATATATTTAACTATATGATATTTACTAAACATAAAATCTACATATAACAGGGTAAGTGAGAACATTCTCCAATCCTCAAGTTCATAACTAAAGAATAAACAGCTTTCAATTGAGAGGGCTACAGGGGCAATCCAACATTCTCAGGGGGAAAACCCAGTTTTAATTAAAGCAAGAACGTGAAACAAATATGAAAAAGATGGAGGATAAACAGGAGTTTCTTATTCCTGGGCAGAATTCTGCAGGGCACAGTGAAAAGGTTTGGAATGGAAAAGAATGGTGTAAGTTTAGGTTGGAGAGAAGCACAGGGCTTATATTCTGAGTTGTGACCAAGAACAGCAGAGACGTGAGGCATCACAGGTTTAATAGGCTACAAGGTTATAAGCAAACTAGCTGGGTACATAAGATGGTGGAGGGATGACTCCAGCTTGTCAGGATTCATCTGTCACATAAATAGATGGTTCTTCTGATGGAATTTCTAGTGGATAGACAGACTTCTGTCTCTCTGTTAAGCAGCCATCTGTGGCCTGTATTGATTTCTTGGCTACTAGGGAAAATTTCTATGCTTGTGGCTTCAGGCATATAAGCTCCAGGTTCCTGAGACCATATATGTTGGTAGATAATTAGAGGTTCCCCAAGGGTGAATACTAGGGCTCTTTTTAGTATCCTATTCAGAGGCCTGCAGGGTACTATGTAAAAAGCATATGTTTAATAAGTTTTAGTGGATGCAGACGGATGTCCTTCATAGTACTGACTTAAACTTAGAAAAGTATCCCTAAACTATCCTTCATGATCAACAAATCTACCTGAAGCCAGACTGATTGACTTTAATTTCCAAATCTCCCACTTACTACCTGTATGTAACCTTGGGCAAACTAATTAACCTGACAGTGCCTCAGTTTCTCTACCTATAAAATAGTGGTGATAACAGTAATGTTCACCCCACAGGGTTATAGTGAGGATCATGAACTAAAATACATAAAGTGCTAAAACCATGCCTGGCATACAGTAAGCACCTTCCTGAGAGGTTATTTTCATAAAGCATGAGAAAAATTAGCTTTTTAAAGCCCTGTACTACTATACATGCAAGGGATACGTGAACTACTTCTTCAAACTTCAATCATGACTTAATAGCCAGTCTATGAAATTATTACTTACCTGGATCAAAATTATCACCAAATATTCTCTTGGCAGGAATCTTTAGGGCCATAGCAGGAAACTGTTTCCTTAACTAAAATTTAAAAAAAAAAAAATTCTGTGAACTTAATTTTATAAGTCTTCTAGATACATGCATCAAAACCAAATACAATCTGAGTTTAAAGAAAATCTATCAGACATACTTTAAAATATATGATCACCCAAGATACAATATTAAGTTATACCAATAAAATAGAATAGACTGACTAATCATTCTATTTTGTCCCAATAAAACACTTAACATCTATGTGACCTTGGGCAAGTTACTTAACATCTCTGTGAGTCAGTTTTCTTACATGTAAAATGGGAATACTTTTAGTGCTTATCTAACAGATTTGTTGTGAGGCTTAGAGGAGATCATACATGTAAAATGCTTAGACTAGAACCTGGTGTATAAGTGTCAACTATGTAACCCATCACGTATTACCTCAGGAGAAAATATCATTTTGTGTTCTCATTACATGAATAAACTGACAATAGTTTTCGAAGAAAGCTAATGAATTTGTTTTTAACACTCTCCGCTCTTAACATTCCTCCCATTAATAGTCTATTTATTTACATCTTATAATTACATAATTATATAATAATAAAATATATATTTAACTATATGATATTTACTAAACATAAAATCTGCTTATCACCATACAAGGCACCACTAGGCCCTGAAAAAATTAAATTCTGAACAATCAATTCACAAAATTGGGTTATATTCTTACTATAACTTTGACATGAAAACACTGTACATACACAACAACGAAACTATAGGTCTAACTACCAACTGACAGGAGAAACCAAGAACGGGAGATGTATTATTCACTCCACACCATGGGCGTGCTATCAGCAAAATCCAGACAGGAAACATCTATAGACAAACGACCCTGCTTTTCTCAACAAATAAAAATTGGAAAGTTAAGAAAAGAGAGATAAAGGAGGAAACCTAGTGATAAAAGAGACTTATCAACCAATCACATAAACACTGAGTGGATATTTGACATTAAGAAATTAGTGCTAGCTTTTTTGGTAGGGGAAACCCTGGTGGTGCAGTGGTTAAGCACTATGGCTGCTAACCGAAAGGTCAGCAGTTCAAATTCACCAGGTGCTCCTTGGAAACTCTATGGGGCAGTTCTACTCTGTTCTATAGGGTCACTATGAGTCCGAATCAACTAGATGGCTCCAGGGTTTATTTGTTTTTTTTGGGTTTTTTGGCAGGTGTGACATGGTATTGTGTTTTAGGAGTCCTTATCTTTTAGAGATCTATACTAAAATATTTACAGATGAAATGATACGATGTCTGAGATTTGCTGCGAAATTATGATGTGCCGGCCAGGGGTAGAGATGAAACAAGACTGGTCAGGTATCAGTAACTGTTGAAAATGGATGGTACATTGCATTATATTTTGTGCTTGTGCTAGTCTCTCTACTGTATGTTTTGAGAATTTCTATAATAAAAAGTTTTATAATTCAAACTACAATGATAAACAACACATTTAAGTTGACAATTTAAATGCTTACAAACTGGAAATTTTACTTTTGTCTTCCTTTTTATTCTAAAAGGAACACAAGGAAAGTATTTGTGTTTTTGAACTTAGGGAAGTCCAGGCCAGGCTGAGTCTGATTTCTGCAGATTCAAAGAACACAAATGATACCATTCTCTTGCTTTTCCTTTGCTTTTCACCACACAAAGCAGAAATGGAAGGAGTTACATGAGAAGAGACACACAGACACAGAAAATGGTAAAATGAAAAACGTAAAGAAAAATACGGGAGAAATAAGGGAGATGGATGATAAAAACTGAACTACACGTTAAGGAGAATTTTCTACAAACATCTTCAAACGAGGTGTTTGATGGAAGAGAGAATGAAGGTGATCATAAGGGGGGGAGGTACCCAAAATGAGCTTTCCTACCTTGCCCTTTATGCTGAAAGATACCTACGTATTAACACGCCATCTAATTAACAACCAGCTACTTGAATCATGAAACCAGCATGAAGATACTAAGCTTTTCCTTGATGCAGCTCATCACATGCTGATTTCTTATGCCATCCCCTATACCACACCCTCTTATGAACAGTTTTAAAAAGAAAAGGGTTTAGAAGGTAAATCTGGCCTATGTAATCTTTTAAGCAAAATAGAAAAAGAGGCCATAAATTTTCAGTTATTAGTAGCTCTGTGAACAGAATTTGGTATTATTGCTCTAAGAAGTTTATAGAAATCATTTTTAAATATCACTAAAAAATAACAGAAGTTATTCCCATACATAAACTCTTACTGGCTATTGTTTTGTTTCAAAAGTGTGACCTCAATTACAGGTGAAGCAAGACTATCTTCATAACCTCTGATCAAGCAATATTTAAAACTATATATAGTTAAGTCTAGTTACATATGCATTAAAGAAAAACTAAACAACAGAAAAAACACAGTAAAACTGTTAACAGTTATAATCTCTGTAGTACTATTATTTAAAAAACAAAACAACCAGTTGCCCTCAAGTCAATTCCGACTCGTGGTGGCCCAATGTGTTGCAGAATGGATTGTGCTCCATGGGATTTTCAAGGCCGTGAACTTTCAGAAGCAGATTGCCAGGACTCTCCTCCAAGGTGCCCTGGGGAGGGTTCGAACCACCATTTCAGTTAGTAGTCAAGTGCTTAACCATTTACGCCTAGGTGAGTTTTAAGTTTAATCTAGTTATACTTTCCTCTATTTTCCAGAATATGCATTAATTTTACATAGGAAAAAAAGAAGTGCCATTTTATAAATTCTAATATTATTTAAATAATGGTGCAGTGGTTAAACATTCGGTTGCTAACCAAAAGGTCGGCAGTTTGAATACACCAGTCACTCCTTGGAAACCCTATAGGGAAGTTCTACTCTGTCATACAGGGTCGCTATGAGTCGGAATTGACTACATGGCAATGGATGTAACATCTTTAAAAAGTTAAATTTCAATTAGCACATCATTTGTATATTTTTTGGAACAAATACGGATATAGCAAAGTGCTAAGTAAAAATGAAACAGAAGCCCAACTCTCATGACTTAGCAAAGCATGGGAAGTTGTGTAGCTAGACAATGTTTGGGTCATTCTGACCCATACAGGAAATAACATATCTCTTAATTGAGGTGTGTTTAACTTCCGTCATATTTAAAAATTCTCACAAACGATAACCCATAGATTTATGTATTTATCTACAGTATTCCTATTTTTAAAACCAAGAGACAGGGTTAAGAACACTGAAAAAATTACCTTCTTAAATATAAAACAGAATTTTTCTGAAGGCCAACTATTCATTAAACAATGACACCAAGAGATCCCTATTTATTACTAGATAATATCAAAAGAATTTCAAGCTTAGGATTTGAAGTACAATTGCCTCAAAACTTGGAATAGATAGCTTTCTTAATAATGTGGGATTCTACAACTACTCACTGAGAAGGGTTCTTTGGCCTCCTACACACATATTACCTTAAAGCAATGTTGTTATTTAGGTACCCTTCAGTCACCTCTAACTCATAGCGACCCCATGTATAACAGAACAAAATGCTGCCCAGTCCTGGGCCATCCTCACAATTGTGGCTATGTTTGAGCCCAGTGTTGCAGCCACTGTGTCAATTCATCTCTTTGAGGGTCTCCCTCTTTTTCTCTGATCCTCTACTTTACCAAGCATGATGTCTTTCTCCCACGATTGGGAGATGATGATGTGTCAAAAGTAAGCGAGATGGAAGTCTTGTCCTCTTTGCTTCTAAGGAGCATTTTGGCTGTACTTCTTCCAAGATATTTATTTATTCTTCCATCAGTCCACAGTACATTCAATATTCTTCACCAACACCACAATTTAAATGCATCAATTCTTCTTCAGTCTTCCTTTTTCATTGTCCAGCTTTTCACACGCATACGAGGCTAGTGAAAAGACCATGGTTTGGCTCAGGCGCACCTTAAGTCCTCAAAGTGACATCTTCGCTTTCTAAGGTTTTAAAGAGGTCTTTTACAGTAGATTTGCCCAATGCAATACAGGTAGTCCCCAACTTACAACTTATCCAAGTTGCATCTAACTGCACTTATAACTGCCCATTTTTTTTGGCTTACATAACGTGTGTAACTGCAGAGGAAGGAAGTACCAAGGTTAAAATTGTAAGTTTATATGCAATGTTTCCAACCCCCAAAGACAAAGAGTGGATTTATAAAAATACTAATAATAAAAAGCAATAGTGAAAACTAAAAATAAAAAAGAGGCATTCAACTTACGTCAGAACCAACTTATGATGGAGTCATAGGGACGGAACCCCATCCTAAGTTGGGGACTACCTGTAGGTTGTTTGATTTCTTGACTGTTGCTTCCATGGGCATTGACTGTGGATCCAAGTAGAATGAAATCCTTGATAACCTCAATATTTTCTCCATTCATCATGATGTTGCTTATTGGTCCAGTTGTGAGGATTTTTGTTTTCTTTATGTTGAGATGTAATCTATACTGAAGGCTGCGGTCTTTGATTTTCATCAGTTAAGTGCTTCAAGTCCTCTTCACCTTCTTGGTCAAGCAAAGTTGTGTCATCTGCGTATCACAGGTTGTTAATGAGTCTTCCTCCAATTTTGATGCTGGGTTCTTCTTCATACAGTCCAGCCTCTTGAATTATTTGCTCAGCATACAGACTGAATCAGTATGGTAAAAGGATACAATCCTGACGCACACCTTTAACAATTTTAAACCACATGGTATCCCCTTGCTCTGCTCGAACAACGGCCTCTTGATCTACATACAGGTTCTGCATGAGGACAATTAACAATGTTAATCCATAATTTGTTATGATCCACACAGCTGAATACCTTTGCGTAGTCATAAAACACAAGTAAACCTCTTTCTGGTATTCTCTGCTTTTAGCCAAGATCCATCTGACATCAGTAATGATATCCCTTTTTCTACATCCTCTTCTGAACCTGGCTTGAATCTTTAACAGTTCCCTGTTGATGTACAGCTTCAGCTGTTTTTGAATTATCTTCAGCAAAATATTGCTTACATGTGATATTAATTATATTGTTTGATAATTTCCACATTCCGCTGCAAAACCTTTCTTTGGAATGGTCACAAATATGGATCTCTTCCTCTACCTGGCCAAGAGACTTAAAGCAATACTCTCTGCAACTTAGGTACCTGTGTGAGATCCAGCCTGATGTGTTACAATTACCTGGTGGTCTCACTGCTACTTTAGAAAACACAGTGGACCCTCCATATCCATGGGTTCCACATCTGTGGATTCAACCAATCACGAATTGAAAGTATTCGGGGAGGGAGGGGGGAGAAAGTTCCAAAAAGCAAAACTTGAATTTGCCACACGCGGAGCACTATGCTGAATCCATAGCATTTACATTGTATTAGACATTGTAAGTAACCCAGAGAAGATTTAAAGTACATGGGAGGATATGCGTAGGTTATACGCAAATACTACACCATTTTATATAAGAAACTTGAGCATCCTTAGATTTTGGTATCCACAGGGGTCCTGGTACCAATCCCCGGTGGATACCGAGGGACGACTGTATTTACAAATGCAAATGCTAGATTATGATTAACATTTAATGTCTTATTCATGAATATATAAAAACACGTTTTAGATTTTTAAATAGATAAGAACCTCTTAGATCTCACCCCCCAGGTAACTGTCAGAAGTTTTGAAAGTAATCTGGAATGTCAGACTTATCTTTAACTTAGAGTGAAATTATGGAAAGAAGAAGTGTGGGCTTCATGACACAGTCTGTCAGACCTAACGCTAACAGTCAGGCAATTTAACTAGAAATCACATGATTATTAACAATTATCAAAAAGGCAGGTAGAAAGGATTTATTTCTAACAGTCTATAACATTAAAGAAGCCCTGGTAGCACAACAATTAAGCGCTCAGCTGCTAACTAAGGGGTTGGCAGTTCGAACCCCCCAGCTGCTCTGCAGGAGAAAGATGTGGCAGTCTGCTTCTGTAGATATTTACAGCCTTGGAAATCCTGTGGGACAGTTCTACCCTGTTCTATAGGATGGCTGTAAGTCAGAATCGACTCAATGGCAATGGGTTTTGGGGTTTTTTGGTGGTGCAATGGTTAACCGCTTGGCTGCTAACTGAAAGGTTCGCAGTTCGAACCCACCTAGTGGCTCTGTGGGAGAAGGATTTGGTGATCCGCTTCCATCAAGACTACAGCCAAGAAAACCCTATGGGGCAGTTCTACTTTGTCACTTGGGGGCACGATGAGTCAGAATCGACTCCTTGGCACACAACAACAACATGACATTAAAATATGTATGTTAAGCTGTACATCTAGTTCCCATATCTCCAATGGTTTATTTGGAACTACTCAACAATCTCTTCTCCCCAAACCCTTTTTTTTTTTAAGAATTCCAAAGTCAGGATACTTTTGAAAAATCTCTTACCCTTTTCTGGTTGTCTGATGTACATGAAGATTAATTTAAATCATTTAAATAAATCTTAGTGTTGGGTTTTTCTCAGAGATTTTGTTTTAAATAAAAAATACTGAATATTACTTACAGTGTTGTACAGCTTATCAAACTCTGCATATCTCCTGAAGACAAACCACTCGCTCCTGCCCACTGAAACCAGAACTTTATAAACCTGTGGAAATAAAAAATAGCATAATAAAATTTAACTGCATAAACAAATTCATTTGCCATTTAAATACATGAAACCTGTTTTCACACTCATGAAACTAACATTAAATACTAACGTTTATATATGATTCACCAACACATACAGGTATATCAACTAAAACACTTATTTTACATTATCAAAAGGCAACATTTTATTTTTAAAATGTTATGAAATATTTCTGTAATTTTCAGAGAATAATACAGCGAACATTCGTGTACCCACTATTTAACCTGGTGCCGTCAAGCCGACTCCATCTCATGGTGACCTGTGTGGGTGAGAATAGAACTGTGCGCCATAGAGTTTTCAACAGCTGAGTTTTCAGAAATAAATCACCAGGCCTTTCTTCTGAGGCACCTCTGGTGGGCTTGAACTTCCAACCTACTGGTTAGCAGCCGAATGTGTTAACTGTTTGTACCAACCAGAGACTCTATCCACTATTTAAATCTACTGAATTGTAATATTTTTGCCATGTTTGTTTTTTTCCCAAGAATAAAATATTGTAGATTCAACTGACGCCACTCCTCTCTCTTATTACCCAGCAGTAACCACTACCCTGAAATTATAAGGCTGTCATGGATTGAACTGTGTCTCCCCAAAATATCTATCAACTTGGCTAGGTCATGATTCCCAGTATTGTATGATTGTCTACCATTTTATCATCTGATGTGATTTCCCTATGTGTTGTAAATCCTATCACTATGATGTAATAAGATGGATTAGTGGCAGTTATATTGATGAGACCTACAAGATTAAATAGTGTCTTAAGCCAATCTCTTTTTTGAGATATAAAAGAGAGAAGTGAGCAGAGGACATGGGGACCTCACACCAAGAAAGCAGTGCCGGAAGCAGAGAGCATCCTTTGGACCTGAGATTCCTGTGCTGAGATGCTCCCAGACTAAGAGAAGATTGATGACAGGGACCTTCCTGCAAGAGCCGACAGAGACAGAAAGCCTTCCCCTGGAGTCAGCACTCTGAATTTGAACTTCTAGTGTACTGGACTCAGCACTAGATGACTAAGACAAAGGTGTTTACTTCCAAAAGTGATACCAGACATATACCAAAACCAAACCTGTTGCTGTAGAATTGATTCTGGCTCATAACAACCCTCTAGGATAGAGCAGAACTGCCCCATAAGGTTTCCAAGGCTGTAATTTCTATGGGAACAGTCTACCACATCTTTCTCCCACAGAGCAGCTGGTGGAGTTGAACCACCAACCTTTTGGTTAGCAGTCAAGCACTTAACCACTGTGCCACCAGGGCTCCTTGCCTGGCACATAGTAAACACTCAATTAAATGTTAGTTTTCCTCCTTTAAGGTCATCTTTTACACAGTATTTTTTAAGAATTATCCTCAGATTCCCAAATACCATCTTAATATGTGTTTAATATTTTCATATATAATCTCGTATAATCTTAGTCAAGAACCCTATGAAGTAAGCAGAATAAATATTCTAAACCCCACTATACATATAAGGAAATGATGCCCCCAAAAGTTAAGTAGCTTGCCCAAGTTCACAGACTTAACCAGTATCAAAATCATCAATACTTATAATATAGAATTAACGTTCATAATTTATCCCACAGGTATTTCCAGAGTATAATTTAACATATCAATGTTGAAAATACAGTTTGGGTCCCCAAAGGTCTTATATCATTTCTAAAGGGAAAATAACAAGAATCTATATTTACATACACAGAAGTAAAACAGGTGTAAGAGGAATAAAGCTGACTGATGTGAGGCCTGGGTTATCAATCTCAGTGTTTTACAGTAAAGAATAGGAGAAAGAAACATGAGTCGCATTTGGGTTTACAATACAATTGCCCAAAGTCTGTTAGACAAAAGAGGAAACCAGGTTATTTTTTAAGAGAGGCATACAAATATGTATAAATTATCCTTTCCTATGGAAGACAGGTAAACTACGCTCACAAGTTCACAGTCAGTTACCACTATGAGAGAAGTGCCTCCCTCATACTATATGTGATTTTATAGTATGAATGCTATAGTACGTTTAAGGTATGATCACATTAATAGGCCCAGAGTTTCACTGAGGCACCCCAGAATGTAAAGCCATATTCCTCTGCAAGGAAGGGGATAAAGTGTCACCCGGAACATGAGACAAAGTCATGGGTGTCAGTCACCTGGGCCAGAGATGCATCACTCAGAGCTGAGAGAGCTGTCGGGCACTTTACGTGAGCTACAGGGTAGTACAGTAACCTGGCTCTAACTAGAAGGCATCAAGTTATCTTAGAGGAAGCTATTGAATGTAAGATGTTAGGATCAGTTGTAAGAGCACAGCCTCCACATGGAGAGAGGCCAGGAGAGAGTAAAGAACCCAGTCAAGGTGCCAGGGAAGTTGAGTCATGCTGCCAAGACAAGACTACAGATTTAGTTCATGTGTCACTCAGGATCAGACTACTACAGAAGGATCCGACACTTAGGCTTACGTGACTGCACATTTCTTGAATTCTTTGTGCTGACTTCCTGGTGAGGAGAGCAGGGCTCAGAAAGGTGAAGTTGCCTCCCATGGTTATGCAAGTAGAGTTAAGACTAGAACCCAAGTAAGTTCCAGGCTGAAGCAGCTCTGCTCCAAATACATTTACAGGGAGTTCATAAAACCTTGTGAAGTTACTAAACAACAGTATGATTTATGAACAAGTGCTTATTAAAAAGTTCTAATAAAATGCCAATAGGCAAAACCAAAAATTCTTCAAATTCAAAAAAATATTTTTATTAGAGAAAAAACCAGAATTTCACAGGAAGCAGCACAACACCTATTACAACATGAAATTATCTTACTGATTTTTATCTGAGTACTTGCTTATTATCTGTCTTGCCCCACCAGAAGGTAAGTTCCTTGACAGTAAGAGCCATGTCATTCTGTTCTCTACTGTATCCCCCAGTGCCTAGAACAGTGCCTGGCATACAACGGAAACTCACTGACAATTTGTTAAATGAATAAATTAAAGTATAATTTAGACTTGGTTTAAATCAAGACATCCTAGAATGCAATGCATTTCTCTGTCAGAAGCTTCACAGTATTGATCTACATAAAAGACACATGAGAACTAGGGTATAAATAAATTACTGAATATTTAGTAACACAATGTCTATTTTTGTTCCTAAATATAACACAGGCATCTGGGCCTACAGAGGCCGGCATGGAGTCTGTGTTGGGTGGGTGTGGGCTCTATCTGGGCAGACTAGAACCAAGTTTTCGTGACGACAGAGGACTGAACTGTACGTGACCAGCAATGAACACGTGAATTGATTGATTCAACAACAATTCAACAAATATTTATTCAACATTTACTCCCTCTGTTCCAGGTGCTGGTGAAACAATAGTGACGGATGTCCCTGCTTTAGAGGGCCTTGCATTCTAGTCAGGAAAAGTACACAGAAATAAACACAAAATATGCTGAATGGTGACAACAGCTATTAAAAAATTAAGTAGGATAAGAGGGACAGAGTGTGAAAGGGGGGGATGGGGCGTGAAGGTGCCCTGGTGGTGCAGTGCTTTCAGCCAAGATCCATCTGACATCAGTAATGATATCCCTCGTTCCATGCCCTCTTCTGAATCTGGCTTGAATTTCTGGCTGTTCACTGTCCCTGTATTGCTGCAACCACTTTTGAACTGTCATCAGTAAAATTTTACTTGCACGTGATATTAAGGATACTGTTCAATCATTTCTGCATTCTGTTGGATCACCTTTCTTTGGAATGGGCACAAGTACGGATCTTTTCCAGTCGGTTGGCCAAGCTGTCTTCCAAATTTCTTGCACTGATGACTGAGCACCTTCAGTGCTGCGAAACATCTCATTTCGTATTCCGTCAACTCCTGAAGCCTTGTTCTTCAATGATGCCTTCAATGCAGCTTGGACTTCTGCCTTCAATATCATCAATTCTTGATCACATGCTACCTCCTGAAATGGCTGAACGTTGACCGTAATCTTTTTGGTACAGTGTCTCTGTATTCCTTCCATCTTCTTGGATGCTTCCAATGTCGTGCAATATCTTGCCCATAGAATCCTTCAATATTGCAACTTGAGGCTTGGATTTTTTCTTTAGTTCTTTCAGCTTGAGAAATACCGAGTGTGTTCTTTCCTTTTGGTTTTGTAGCTCAAAGTCTTTGCACACTTCATTATACTACTTTACTTTGTCGTCTTGAGCTGCCTTATGAAATCTTCTGTTCAGCTCTTTTACATGATCATTTCTTCCATTTGCTTTAGCTACTCTACGTTCAAGAACAAGTTTCAGAGTCTCTTCTGACATCCATTTTGGTCTTTTCTTTCTTTCCTCTCTTTTTAATCACCTTTTGCCTTCTTTATGTATGATATCCTTGATGTTATTCCACAACTCATCTGGTTTTCCATCATTAGTGTTCAATGCATCAAATCTATTTTTGAGGTGGTCTCTAAATTCAGGTGCGATATACTCAAGGTCACACTTTGGCCCTCATGGACTTGTTTTAATTTTTTTCAGCTTCAGCTTGAACTTGCATATGAGCAATTGATGGTCTGCCCCCGAGTCAGCCCGAGCTTTGTTCTAACTGATGATACTGAGCTTCTCCATTGCCTCGCAATCTTCAGCCATGTTTTCCAACTACCGATCCTTCTTGTTTCCAACTTTCCCATTCCAATCACCAGTAATTATCAATGCATTTTGACTGCACGTCTGATCAATTTCAGACTGCAGAAGTTGATAAAAATATTTAATTTCTTAATCTTCTCTTTGACATTAGTGGTTGGTGCATAAATTTGAGTAACAGTCACATTAACTGGTCTTCCTTGTAGGCGTATGGATATTATCCTATCAGTGACGGCACTGTACCTCAGGATAGATCTTGAAATGTTCTTCTTGACAACGAATGCAACACTGTTCCTCTTCAATTTGTCATTCCCGGCATAGTAGACCATATGACTGTCTGATTCAAAATGGCCAAAACCAGTCCACTTCAGCTCACTAATGCCTAGGATATCTATCTTAAAGCATTTCATTTCATTTTTGATAACTTTCAATTTTCTTAGGTTCATACTTTGTACCTTCTGTGTTGCTATCATTATTGCATGTCTGCAGCTGTTTCCTCTCATCTTGAGTCATCTGTCAGTTTGTCGTACTGCGGTGGCTTGTGTGTTGCTGCCATGCTGGCAGCTATGCCACTGGTATTTCAAATACCAGCAGGGTCACCCAAGATGGACAGGTTTCAGTGGAGCTTCCAGACTAACACAGACTAGGAAGAAGGACCTGGCAATCTACTTCTTAAAAAACTGGCCAGTGAAAACCTTACTAGTAGCAGTAGAACACTGTCTGATATAGTGCCAGAAGATGAGCCCCTCAGGCTGGAAGGCACTCAGAACGTATTGGGGAAGAGCTGCCTTCTCAAAGTAGAGTTGACCTTAATGATGTGGATGGAGTAAAGCTTTTGGGACCTTCATTTGCTGATGTGGCATGACTCAAAATGAGTTTATTAAGATAGTGCGGCAAAATAGACTAAGAAGAGGTTAAGTGGCCAGACACACATTCCAATCTCTCAGCTCTGGGCTTCAGTGCAGGGCATGGGAAGTGTGTCTGTTAAGAAAGGGATTACAGAGAGAAGAGGGGTGGTTTCCCAGCTACTTGCATGGGACCCTGGGAGAAAGCCACCATCTGCGGACACCCAGCACCAACATGGGACACCCCACCTACTGAACTGGACAGAGTGAAGTGGTCAGACAGGGGGTTTAGTTTAACTCCTCGGCTTTCCTCAGTTCCCATGTGACACAGATTCTGAGTTGAAAGTCACTGTCCTGGGGCTCAACTGGCAGGGACCAGGTGACTCCTTGTCAGAGGCTAGAGGTAGACCACCTGAGCCAGGAGGACCAGGCGAAGGATGTGTCAGAGACTCCGTGGGCTCTACAACTACTGAGAGCCAAGGGGAAGCTGAGTCAGCAGTGAGTGGCCACCAGCTTCTGGTCAAGCCAGCCAAGGAAGAATAGACCACAAGTTCTTCCATCAGCTATAGGTGCCAGCAAAATGGCAGGACGGACCAGGCCAACCAAAGCTGGAGTCTGCCAGACAAGCCTCCCCACAGCTGGAACAGCAAGGATTTAGAGGTGCTACAGGAATGCAAGCGCCTTCACCAGGCTCCCACGGGCTCAGTCACTGACTCAGCACACACTGTAAAAGGGAACCCCTCCCCTCACAAACCACAAGTCTGTGTTCAAAAAAAGATAAGAGAGCAAAATTAAGATGGCCTCGGCATTTTCACCTAAAAGACTGCCCATTACCTGAGAAATGTTTAAATTATTAGACTGAACGAAGTGTTAAACAGAATTGGGTTAAATGAGTTTCTTCATACTACCCAGTGAGTGGGGGTTTGCCAGGAAGACCAGATCAGTTGTAGACAAAGTAAGGCATTTTCTCAGGGGTGGTGGTGGTAAGAGATCTCTGTTATATACAAACTGGACTGCTGGAGCTGAACACAAGATTGTATTTCTCATGACACTGATTAGAAAACTCACTAGTGCTTTCTAAGGATAGTCACTGATAGGCTAAGTCAGCAAATATCCACTGTACAGGTAGAGTCCTCAACCCACTACGGGGCTCTCTTCCGACAACTCAGTCGTAAGCTAGCTCTGATGTAAGTCGAATACTTCTTTTTTTTCTTTTTTCAGTTTTCATTATTATTGTCTTTTATTATTAGTATCTTTATAAATCTGATCTTTATTTGTCTCTGGGGGTTGGCATGAGAATGATAATATCAGCAAATTATGCGCTGCAACATTGTACGTAGCATATTACTAATGATAAGATGTACAAACACAGAAAAATGATCGTAAATGTGGTTTGTTGTAACTACAATACGTTGTAAGCTGGGTACTACCTGTACTTTCCATTTATAAAGCCTATAGGGTCGCTATGAGTTGGAATCGACTCGATGGCAATGGGTTTTTGGTTTTATAGTAGATGAGGCATTGGAGGTTCAACGGTAGCATTCTTGCCTCCTATGCGGGAGACCTGGGTTCGATTCCCAGCCAACATACCTCATGCACAGCCACCACCTGTCTGTCAGTGGAACTCTGTGTGTTGCTACAATGCTGAACAGGTTTCATCAGAGCTTCTAGACTAAGACATGCTTGGAAGAAATGCCTGGCTATTTACTTCTGAAATCAGCCAGTGAAAACCTATGGATCACAGCAGAACACTGTCTGATCCAAAACTGATCATGGGGATGGATGGTGCAGGATCGGGTAGCATTTTGCTCAGCTGTGCACGGGGTCATCATGAGTTGGAGGCTGACTTCACAGCAGCTAACAACAACAACAGCAGCTGCTATGCTGATAAAAAGTTAAATTAGAAATAGACTTTGCCTTTTTAAGTGAAAAAAAAAAAAGGAGATAAAACACTAGATTGAATGTTTTTAAAACTGAGATAGAAAATGATAAATGTCCTAAGAAAGAAACGATGGAAATTCCAAGACAGTGGTTTTTAACATGCGGTCAATGGCTTCAGAAGTCCATTAATCCCTGACAGTGCCCACAAAATGGTGTGAGTGGGCGAACAGGTCTAAATGTACGCGCATGCACTGCCTGTGGCGAGTGGGTCCATCAGTTCCGTAAGCTTCTCCAAGGGGATAAGTAAACTCTTAGGACTCCGCACTAGAACAGGAACCTTTATTCCAGTCAGGATAGACAGGGAAGACTTTGTGGAGGAGATGATATTTGAGAGACAGGAAAATCTGGATCTGTGGAGATGGGACGACCGTCTAGGCTAGGGAAGAACAAGAGCAGAAATGGAAATATTCTCTGTATTCAATGTTTTCCATATGTTTCATGTTACATACTTACAGTAAACCTCTTCTTTTTCTCTCTGTGTTCATCAGAGCTGGGAATGCTAACACTTGGGCAGCTTTCCTTGTAGTCCATGGTATAATCTCTTTGGGTTTAATGCCTCAAAAGGACACCAAAAACTGAATCCGAAGAAACAGTCAGCAGAGGACAAACACAATTAACTAATCCAAAATATAAAACCTCTCGAGGTAATGTTCAAATTCCATCATGCAACCTTAACCAAAAGGAAAAAAAAAAAAAAAGAATTGATTAGCAGAACAACTTAAACATACTATGCTCTGTCATTCCTCGTTCATAGGACCCATTTTATGTTACTTCCGGCAGTAATCTACTTTTGACCATAAGTCTCACCCCAGTTTAGAGACTTAGTTTCTGTTATGTCTCTATCACTACAGCTAAATCACAATCAAACACCTGCATCCCATCTACCCTCCTTGCAGCTAGGAAGTTTTCATAGCTTGTTCACCACAGTTCGTGTGGCCGAAAGGCTAACTTTCCTCTAAAAGAACTCCAGCTTGGTGGATTCAGAGCAGGGTTCTTCCAGGTGTCGTCTTTAGACTTCTTTCATCAGGATGACCGGGTGGAGCCGGCTGAAAAATTCAGGTTACTGGGCTCCACACAAGATCTAACGAGTCAGAATCCTCATATTTTATTTTATTTAATAAACATTACTTAATGCTTTCCACATGCAAGGTAATTTACAAACAACTCATTTAATACTCAGAACGATCCTATGTGGTAACGCAATTTTCCCTTTTTACAAATGAGGCACCCGAGACACAGAGAGGTTGAGTAATTTTCCTACCCAGGATCTGAACCCAGGCTATCTGGCTCTAGAGTCTCAAGTCTTAACCACTGTGCTGTGCTACCCTGCATTTTTAACAACCCTTATGCAATAATTCTTAGGTACTAGACCCCTGGTCCGAGACATTACAGTAGATCTTCATACACAACAGATGCAATTATGTTCATACTGTCATTCCACCCATGGACAAAAGACTTCAGATGTCACACCTGTGTCATCTTTTCTACAAAGCAGCACATACTCTCTAGTAACACCAAGTAATACCTTTTACAGGGTCAGTTTGCCGGTTTCCCTGGATGATTACTCCCAGAAAGTCACTATAACAGCTTTATAACAGCTTTCTCCACTCAGCCACATGCAGAGGCTGACCTCTATGGACCTCACACCTAGGTACCCTACTTGTACCCTAACCCTCTGGCTTCTAGTTGGGTTCAGCCAATGTGGGGCACTAGCGGGAGCCCAGGGTTAAACGGTTAACACACTCACTCGGCTGCTAACCAAAAGGTTGAAGGTTTGAGTCCACCCTGAAGTGCTTTGGAAGAACGTCCTGGCAACCTACTGAAAAATCAGCCATTGAAAACCCTACGGAGCACAATTCTACTCTAATCTTCACGGGGTCGTCGTGAGTCATAATTGACTCGACAGCAACTGGTTATGAGACCAGAGGGTAGGACACTAAAGTATTTATTCCCCCTGCTCCCTCCTGACAGGCGAGGGTTTCTCTACCTAAGGCCACACTTCCTACCAGGTGGTCTCTCCCACGGACAGTTCTTGCCTTCAGGCCTAGGGGTAGAAAAGGCTTCCTAACACTGTCAGTGGGGGATGGCGAGGAGCCATACCTTGCTGGCTTCCTTAATCGTGCTTACAACATATCTCAGTAAAGAGCCCCTTTGCTCACCTCCCTTCAATTACTTTTTAGTGTGCCATGTGTTTCCCACTAGTGACTGATACAGTAACGGTATCAAGAATGACTCCAGAAATAGACCCTCAAAAATGAGACTTGCATTGATGGGAGCACTGATAACTTCCCTGTGGAGGGAGGGGATGGGAAGCTGATAACCTGGCATAGAGTGATAACATGTTCACTCAAGTTACCTCCAAGCCCATCTCTATGCTGCACAGGATGGACTGCAGGTGGGAGGCAAGGTGCTGGAAGATCAAGTGGCTGACGGAAAGGGTGATTTCAAAGACTATGCAATGGGCTAGGGCTGCTTCTGGCTGTGCTTGAGAAAATGCCCACAAAGCAAAGACAAATTGAAAGCCCTGAATTCCCCAACAGATTGGCAGAAAATCTTAAAGTTGTAGAGTTGACATACCTAAGGACCACTGGGTAAGGGTTGCAGAGCCAATTAAATAAGCAACTCTTTAATGTCTCTTATGCTAACATAAGGGCAGTGGTTGGAAAGGAGAATGGTTCTGAACCCTGGAAGCAGGCATTTGAGCAGACACAAACAAAGCTAAGAATGCTGAACTCCAAGTTCACCTGAAAGTCCCTGCTGAAAGCAGCAACCTCCCTCCCTTTGAGGAGACCCAGCCTCCCAACCTCCCCATGAAACCCTCTGGAGTTGCTTCACAAGGGGATGCCAATTCTCCACTCACTCCACCACCCTGCATTGCCTCAGGCCCATGACGGGAGTTAGATGCCAAAAGAACTCAGGAAGAACAAAATATACTCTGGGATAAGATGACTTTTATGTCAAAAAATTTGCAGAATCTTAGCAATTTTTCTCAGGAGGCTGGGGAGCATATACAGGAGAAAATTCAAAGGATGCTGGATCAAGGAGGCCTAAATATAAGACTCGACTGAGCCCATTCATGAGTATGTGTGTGCTCTCCTTTGATTCCGGATTTAACGTGTTGGTCTCAGCACCTGGGAGGGGCACTAAAGCTCTGCTAGGCTGACTGACCAAGCCGGGACTGAGGGTGGCCTACAGGCAATGAGGCTGAGATGACAGAACTTTCCTGGCACACTGCAGAGGAAGGAAGCTGAAAGTGTGGGAGTACCAAATGTGCTCTACTCTGCTGTCCCCAACCACATATCCCCAAACTGCCCCCAAGGGCCCAGAGCAACAGAGCATCTTCCTTTTCCCTGCACTGGTAAGGGGTGCACCACCATCCCGGAAGAGCCCTGTGGTGGCCTTCACCTGTGTGTTGGAGATGATACACTGGAATTAGGCTCCCTGATTCCAACGGGACTGATGGGACTCTGGCGTGGCAGGGGCTAGGCAGCAGCGCCGGGAGAGATGAGACAGGCACAAAGAGCAGAGCAAGCCACAAGGATTGAGTGGTAATGGAGCATTCTGACCTGCAGGAATCTGGGACAGTGACTAATTGATCACCAGGCCATTGGGATGTTGACCTCTGCGCCTCCATCCCATAGGCTCGCTTGCCCTATAGCTGCTGGGTGATTTAGCCAATGGGAGGCACAGGAAGGATATGGGGTGGGGGAAGAGAGGTCAAAAGCACATTTTCTCACAGCACTCCCTCCCAGCCAGGCTTCAGTTTGGTAGTCTCTGCGTTCCTCTCCCTGAAATCGTAGCTCCTGTCAGGCAACTGTCTCCCATGACTACAAGGCTAGGGTGCCAAATCCTTCACCACTAGTCCCTGGACAAGTTCAAGTTATCTAAGCCCTAGTTTCCAATCTAGAAAATGAGGGTAACAACACCTATTTCATGTGGTTGTTGTAAGGACCAGAGATAGTGTAAAAGACCCAGGACTCCACAGGTAGTTATTAAAGAGTCCTGGTGGCATAGTTAGACTTTGGCTGCTAAGCAAAAGGTCGGCAGTTCAAATCCACCAGCTGCTCCTTGGAAACCCTATGGGGCAGTTCTACTCTGTCTTACAGGGTCACTATGAGTTGGAATCCACTCGACAGAAGTGGGTTTTGTTTTTTTGGTTTTATGGTTGTCAGTTACCACTGAGTCAACTCTGACTCACTGCGACCCCACGTACAACAAAACGAAATGCTGCCCCAACCTGTACCATCCTCAAGACCGTTAGCATGCCCAAGTCCACTGCTGCGGCCACTGTGTATTCTGAGTGCCTTCCGACTTAGGAGGCTTATCTTCCAGCACTGTACAGGGCAATACTCTATTGTGATCCGTAAGGTTTTCACTGGAATTTTTGGAAGTAGATTGCCAGGCTTTTCTTCCTAGTTTGTCTTAGTCTGGAAGCTCCACTGAAACCTTTCATCATGGTTGACCCTGCTGGTATTTGAAATACTGGTGGCATAACTTCCAGCATATAGCAACACACAAGCCACTACAGTATGTTAAATTGACAGACAGGTGGTAGAAACAGGATCTAATGTATAATAATGTGTTTTGGTTTAGTATTTATTCATTCATTCAACAACACTCATTAAGCACTCCTCACCAACTAGACAATAGGAAGGCAAAGACAAAAAGAAATCCGACAAGAAACTTATCTAGTCGGGGAGACTGATAAACAACATAGAATTCCACAGCTGATAAATACAATGTTATACGTAGGCATGGTATGCTACAAGAACACGGGGAAGGGACACAAACTCAGACTGTCAGTTATTCTCATCCTAGCTAAAAATAAAGCCAGGCACGCAATGGGAGCAGAAGTCTGAATGAGATCACACCTGTCTTTCAATTTTCTCTGGGAAAAAAGAAGCCAAAAATCATACGTTGGCAAGGAGAGCTGCTGGGAAGAAACATGTAGGGAGACTAAAGAACTTGCCCAAGCTCGTACCCAGCTGACAGACAACAGACCTAGGGTTCAAATCCAAATCTGCCTGACTCTAAAATCTATGTGCTTGTTTGCTAGACCACACTGCCTCTCCCCCAGTGAGATTTTCTTTCCTTCACGCTAAATCAAACCGGCAACCTAATACTATTTAATATTCATTGGCTAAGCTTATTACAAGTCAAAGATGGTGCTTTATGTGTGTTAATTTGGTTGTTCCACACAAAAGCTCTACTGAGTGGGAACCGAGGAGAAATGGAAGCAGAAAAAGATGAAGTCACCTGGCCAAGGTGGCAGAGTCAGGATTTGGACCCAGGTGGACTAACTTCACAGTCTGTGCTTTTGTCTGTCACACCATACCTCCTCCGCCACATACGTGTGCTCTCACGTATGAGCTGGAATCGACTCAACGGCAACAAGTTAGGTTTTTTCAGAGTCCTCTGAGAAGCAATGAAGAAGTCCATCCACTTATTTTTAAGTGGTTAGAAGTAAAATTATGGAAGAGAAACCCTGCTATTACCGTAAATTTAATGTATATTTATTCTTTAAAACTGAAGCAATTAAAATTCTGCAAAATCATCCTCTGGCCAGGTAGTCACATAAAACTAAATGAGAAGAGGACTGATATAAGAACCTCCACAACTAAAACAGAACAGGACAAAGAACATTGCCATTCACATGAGAATAAAAACTGG